GAACGGCTGATGGTTTTTTTTATAAAGAGCTTTATTTCATGTCAGAAAAGTTTTTATTCATGTCCGAAAGGTTTTCATTTAATGAAAAATATGAAAGTATAAAAGTTCAAGCTATACGACGTCGTTTAATAGATAAAATTGGTTAGTATAATTTAAACTATTCGTTAATGACTGAAAAGCAGGGAATCGGACCGAAAGCAAGCATCTTCCAGTATTCAGACTGACGTTTTATTTATTACTATTTTCACAAATAAAATGCATACAACTACGCTATACATAGTCAAAGATGTATTTACATAATATTGGAAATATTGTATGTTATTTGATAGTTGTATGTTATTTGTTTTAATTTTATCGTTATGCTTTTGTACGTTGTTGTACTTGTTGCTTTTTGTATGCTTAATATAATCAGAAATGTGGTAAAACATACATGTGGGCATATACAAAATCAGAAGAACAGTTCCATTATGTATAAATGGAAAAATTAATTATAAAAATTAACGTTTTAAATCACGAAAATTGTATTTATCTCGGCTCTATGGCGTTCTCCATAGGCATATTTTTTTTTTTTTTTTTTTTTTTTTTTTTTTTTTTTGAAAACAATTCAATGTATGTATCTAGCAATTGTTAATATATTTTAATTTATGTTTGTTTAATTTTTTTGTATATGTTAAAATTTAAAACTATCAGTTATTCAAATTCCATTTAACTCCATTAACATAGGTAAAATAATTGCATATGATTTCTCTGTTTTCAGCAGAAAATCACTTGTGTTATCTTTGAAAACTTAACTACGTCAATATCATCATATATCTTGCACAGCTCATCGTTCCGAAACTTTTTTCTCGAAGACATCGCGCACGCTACTGAACATTCCCAGTAGCGAAAGGTAATGACTTTTCAACGAAGTGGTAAGTTACATTTACTGTATTCTTCAGCCTCCATCCATTACATTTTATACAGGGATTGTTTGAAAATTCATTCATTCCACTTCACTGCCATTTTCTAACGAAGAGTTCACCAAGGCAATTTACCACTTCATATATATTTTGGTATGTACAGCTTACTACTTCATTATACACTTCTAGGGAAGTGGTAATAAAGGAAACTTACATTTCTTTTCGCTACTAAAGTAATCCAACATAAATAAAACATTGAAGTTAAAAATTCAAACTTATTTTTTCTATTACGGTTTACGGTTTCAGTTTTTTTTAAAAAGGTTTGACAAAACCCTGAAAGCTTGTCTGCGCTCGTCACAAACAAGCATGTATGTATAGGTATTCATGAGACTAATAACTTGGATAATTATTACGTTGACAGATTACAGGTGATAAAGGTTTAAATGAAAAGATAAAGCTCTAAACTTTGATGTTTTCTTAAAAATAATATTCAAAATGGCCTCACTCGTTGGCGGACACTTGCTATGGTATAAACTCCCTACCTCGGAAATATCTTTTGGATTTGCAATTTGCTCGTTTTAAATTTCTCGGAAATATTATCCATACGTTTCCATCGCATATTCAGATAGAGGAGAACTTCTCAGTTATAGAATATATAATCTTAAGAAAAAGGCGTCTACTCCATATCAGCATTTCTCGACATAAAGTGTCCCGCTCTGATTTTCATTCCAAAAACATATATATGTAATGCGTAACTAAAGGAATAATGTCTCATGTGTGCACTACATTATACTTATTAATGTAACAGTTACATTTGAAGATTTATAAAACAAGTGCAATATTTACGAAAGTTCTTTGAATGAAAATCAGAGCGGGATACTTTATGTCGAGAAATGCTAATTTAGGTTGGTATATTTACATAAAAGAATAAATTTGTCCAAATTTCACCTCATATCTATATATGTATATACCACATGTATGTATGTTTAAATGATGGTATTTTCAAACATGTTTGCCCATCATGCTGTTTTTCTAATCAAAGGAGTGGGAACGAATCTGCAAAACAGATAAAACCAGCGTGTAAGTGAATTATATCTAAAAAGTTATAAGTATGCATGCATACTCCTTGAAGTTTTATCACACTCGCCCTTGAAATCTCATACAATACCTATGTCTATTGCCTATAAATTATACTGAGCGTTCGAGCATGCTATGAAATATGAATCCTAATTTATTTATTATTGGAAGATTAAGTTGAATGCAAATTACAAAACAAAACATACATTTTACACGATAAACAAACATATTTACTTTTAGCATAATTCGGAATGTTTTCGCATCTGATTTGTGCCCTTTTTATATACAAATGCACATACATATGTATGTACATACATATGTATTTTATGCAAGTACATCATGCATCAGTAATCAACCAATATGGAAATTTCGTCTGTTTGATTGCTATATAGCATGACACATACATACATTTATAGTTGGTAACATTGTGTGGTACTTCTACAGAAGCAAAGGCCATAAATAGCAATCAAATTGAGATATATTTTGCATATCAGCAATACGTCAAACTCGGCAAATGAGCAATATCCTGTAAATGGTCAACACCATACCCAAGGGCATGAAAGCGAACATAAACAACCAGCTGTTCATGTATGTAGGTGTAAAATATCCTGCCACTATTATAATAAATAACGCCAGGCGTGAATAATCGTAGATGAGGCTGTCATATAGGTGTTGACGGAAAATAAACCAACGAATCAAAGCGTATGTTAAATTAATACGTTTGTATAGGTGTGAAAAGTATAATAAATCCCCAAAGATTAAAGATGTAATTATGTATTTGTATTGCAAACCTCAATCCAGTGTCGTAATAAAAATATGTCTGCATTACTGTTAATGGTTTTGATTTGTAATTAAGTATTTAATCCATTCTTTTTATTAGTAAATTATATAAATTTAATTTACTTGATTTGAATCCACAAAAAAAGTTTAATCGCAAGACAACCAATATTAAATAAATGTGGATTTAGTTTTTGGTAAATACTTATTTAAAACCTTTAGGTTAATGATTTGAAATGTTGGTTGTAGAAGGTAAGAAAGAAAAAATATTTACTATATACGAATAATAACAACATAATTTTTTTTCCAGTATTTATATATTGTATCTGATCATTTTGAGACTTCTGAGCAGCCCCCAATCCCCGCTGTTTCTGTTCAAACTTCAACATTTATGATACAATTTTTTCTGTCATGCGTTTCATATCCAAAACGCTCGTCATCGACTTCTCTAATTGTGGTTCGCCTATCGCTCATAACCATTTTCATCAGATGTGAACTTGCTGAGACGTCCAGGCTATCATCTCCATCTTCTTACGGCCTTATTAGAAACGCTTATAATATTTTACACACTCTGTTATACGAGTACATTCATTACTATTTGATATATTTTCTTGAAAATCGTCGAACTTATACCAATATTCAAATATACCTTTTTTTATAACCCTTTAAAACAAATGGGTAAAATATTTCCTATATAGTCGCGATCATAACTGTTTTTCATTACACTAGTTATGAAATTTCTAAAAAGACGGTGGGCTACATTCAATTCTTGTTATCAAGTAATAATGTCCAAAAAAAATCGAGCACATAAAAATGAAAAGCATAATACAGATATTATGCGGATGAGATTATGCGAATGAGCATTCAATTACATTTTTTCTTCCGGGTCTCTTTCTTAACTCTTAATTAATTATAATTATGTATTATTATGTTTTTATAAATCTCATCTACTAACATATTATAAAATGCAACACTGTCTCTATTGAAAAAGGAGATAAACACGCAAATGATATCAAAAAAGAAATATGGCTATATTTCTTCCTCTTATTCTTCTTTATTGGCATGGGTCACCACTTACGCGATTATAGCTGAATCCACAATAGCGCGCCATTCAGTCCAAAGTACCACCTGTTGGCAAGAGTGATTCTGCGTTGGATTTCCAGACTGACAGTTTTATTGATATTAAAGCTGGTCCTTTGATAGACGAAATTCTCTACGACCTCGAAGTTATAATTGTCAACAGTGACTTGGCTCCAACAAGTCGCGAATACGATGACTGTTTGCAAGATAACATTTTCAGACTGTTAGCTCCATTCCTATTTTACGTAAAATCTCAACCCTCCAGATTATCACTTTTTTAAACCGAAATCTTTCTGTTCTAAATTTTGAACATTCATAGGGAATTTCTTGATACGAAAAAGAAGGTAGCTTCAATATAAATTTTGTTTTTACTTTTCTTAACTTTTTTGTTTACAATAACATGTAATAATATGTTGTATGAATTTCATCAAAAAATGTATGAAAAATATGTGAATGTTTTTAACAAATTAAATTGGAAGCACTCAATTTAATTTTGTCCTATTGTTAATAAATCTCACAAAATACCTGAGTAGAACGACCTCAATTTTTGTATCATGAGGAAACCTGTGGATACAAATGTAGAAAAAAATTGAAGGGATTCTTCTCCCATTATCTGCCTGCTTCGTTTCATCAATTGTGTGATGATAGAGAGTATCAAGCAGGCAAGATCTCAGAAAGAAGAGATTACAATATTCAAATGTTTAGAACAAAATTAGAATGGTATATATATTTTTATAAATAATTAACGGTTTGTAATCGCTGAAGCGATTTTCGGCCGAGCTCCTCCTCCCATTTTTGGTTTTGCGTCTTGATGTTTTTCCAACAAATGGAGTTTATAGTTTATACTAAGCTGTCTTCGAACGGCTGATGGTTTTTTATGAGGAGCTTTATTTTATATCATAAATACACTCAGAGGGGTTGATATTCCCCGCCCAGGGGCGATCGCAATTAGAAAATTTAACTTAATTTTTTGTTTAATTAATTATTTATAACATTTGAATGGTGGTCACACGGGGATTTGAACCTGAGCCTTCCGAATGTCAGTACGCAATGCTAACCACTCGGCTACCGCGGTGACACAAAAACACAAAATTGTTGATAAGTCATTATATACATACATATACATAGATATTTAATTATTTTCTTTCAATTTATAAATTAATGAATAGGTACATTTACAAATTTACACAACATTTACTAGAATTGCATAAAAAAGTCTTATGATTAACACTTAAAAAGAGTACTTAAATATTGAGTTACATACGTAAGTAGTTTGCGTATGAATAAGCCGACAATCTTTCACATACACACATAATTCATATAAGCTAACAAAAATTGCCTAAAGTAACTTATTGAGTAAAATTTCACACATTATATCTTAAGATACTATCAAACTCACACCTGAATTTGATCTTCGTCCTCAGACTGGATTTGAGAGCTGTCACGTGATCTGCCTGGTGGGCTTCCTGGATTGAGAGTAGGGCTGGGGGAACGCGATAAAACAATATGTCTTGTGGGAGACTGTTCTATAGAAGATAATGGCGCAAGACAATGCTCAGTCATGGCATTGATATGGGTCACCTGTGCTGCTGTAGTTACTATTGGTGGTAAGGGTGGTGATGCGACGGGCTTAGAGTTTTTCGTCGAAATTGAACCTGTTGCGGCAGCTACCGCTGCTACGGAGGCGCTTTGATAGTAACTACTTAAAGATGAGAGTGAATTGGAAGCGGAGAGGTGAGAGAATGGTGACGTAGCAGATACTGGTAAGCCCACAAGTGGTCCCACATTAGGTACTCCTGGATACAAGTTGTACGGAAGCGGCTTTTGCATAGCGGCAGCTGCTGCAGCTTGACGGTAATATAAATCAATACTGGAAGGAGCAGGACCGCTATGAGGTGGCTGCGGTCCTGTGTACGGCCAGGCACCCAAATAAGGTGTCCCACCATAAAGTCTTTGAAAAGCTGCAAAGTTTCCAGCCTCTGCCAATAGCTCCAATCCTACCGCAGTTTGTCGTTTCCATTTTGTTCTGAAATAAAAAACAAACAAAATAATAAATAAAATGTATATGCAAAATACTCCTGTATATAAAATTCATAAATACGATAATAAAAATTAGTTCCAAGATTAACCTATTGAGCTTCTGTACCATTAAGAAAATTTGTAGTGGCTGACTAGTGAAGAGTTTCACTTCTTAAACTTCTTTTTTGAAGCCACATTTAAAAAAATTGAAAACTAGCCAGAGACCCCACTAATCGATACCAACCTTCAAATCCTAAATGTGCCAAATTCAGTCAAATAGACCACTACGCATAAAACTGGAGCTCTTTTGCCACAATTAATGTGAGAGTGGTCACAAGTGGATCACAATCATGCAGGCCTAACTCTGACGGTCAAAAACATTTAGTCATATTGAATGGGAACATCATCAGTAGTTAATATTATTAAGTCTTAAGTTTTTTCGATTAACGAAAGCGTGTTTTCACGCGGCCAAGACTTGCTACCGAAAGAGTGCAGAAATCTGAAAAAAACTTTTAAAACACATCATTTAACTTCCATCCTTTGTAAATTTTCATTTACTTATCTCACATCGGCGATAAGCACATGGCAAAATAAATAAATATTTGTTGTATATTATTTAGCCACAGGCGATATATAGAGTTGTGTTTTAAACTGAAATTTGTGTTTAGTACATCCTAATTTATAGGAATTACATCAGCTTATACAATACATTATGATCTATTATCTATGTTATTTTATTTAAAACGTTATTTGATCTGTATACAGGGAAAACACAAAAAAGTATCTCACAATCATTTCATTGTTTAAACGCTTATAAGAATATAGTGATCCCAATCATTTTACTTACCGACGATTTTGATACCAGGTTTTGACTTGACAATCGCTTAAGTCAAGCTTATGAGCAAGCTCTTGTCTCTCTTGAACACTCAAATACTTTTGTCTTTCGAAAGATTTTTCTAGAGTTTGCAACTGGTGATCTGTAAAAGCGGTACGCGCTTTACGTTGTTTTTTACTTAACCCATGAATGTCATTAGTAGATCCACTTTTAATGCTATTACCATCATCATCTTTAGCACCTGCAAGCGAATAAATGAAATTTATAGATACTTAGCAATTGTTTTTATTAATATATTATAATAAATTACATGGAACTTTTATAAAAAGTTCCTACTCAATGTTCTTTAAGATCTTTTCATGTGGTTCAAATGGAAGTTTGAAAATCATACCCAAATTTAGAAATAAAATTTTTAAAGATAATCAATTAATTTCTATTTAAGTCATCAATTCTGCACTAATAATCCCCATAATCCCTGAATACTAAAATAAAGACCAAAAAACTAGAGACTGGTTTGCGATTCTGGAAACGAGGAAACAATGTGCATGTGGTTTACATGCGATACATTTTCCCGAACAAAAAATAAAATCGTAGTTGTTTATTAACTTGTACAAAAAATATTATTTAAAAAAATAAAATGAGTAAATATCTAAAGTTTAAATTTATTTCTAATTATCAAAAACATCAATAACAGTTCCAAGTTTTCGAACATACGTGTATATCCTGGTCTGAGCTCTTGTTAGTAGTACCATTGTTATCCGTAAACCATCTCTAAGTTACCATATTTTTTTGGATTTATGTCAATAACATATTAAATCTTCGTATAAAAAATGAGTGTTTGTTTGCTAGTGACGCTAAGGCCTGAGAACGGCTGGACCAAAGTTGATGAAATTTTTAGGGGTTGTTCGTTGTGGAAACCTTATATTTTTCCTATGGAAAAGTCGAAAAATTCCAAAGAGCGACTCTTTCCCATACATTTCTTTTTAATTTGTTTTTTCAAATCTATCTTTTTTTAAAAAATGTGGTTATTCTTTCTAATTTGTTTATTCGAACAGTCTTCCTCATAAAAATAAAATATCAGACGTTCGGAGGCGGCTTAGTTTGAAATGTAGGTCCCTCCATTTGTTGTAAAAGATTAACACACAAAACCACAAATTGGATGGGAGCTCGGCTGAAAATCGCTTCAGCGGTTATAAAGCCCCATTTATATATATATTCAGTGAAAACTTTATGTGTGAATCGCAAAAAGTGATCAATTACAATTAGAAATTTGTTACAGTGCCACGAAATAATCGCGCTAATATCGGCCGGAATAACCAATTGCCAAATCGTGAGTCGGCCGCGGTTTCTCACATCATCATCGCTATTGACCGCATTTGGCAAGTGAATATACTCTCCAGATCGAAGCGAATAAAATTGAGTCGCTCTGTCTCTATCAACACGTACACATCAACTGTTCATCGGCAGTTGCTTAACCCGCCGTTAAGACCAAATTCGAATCATAATGTACGAACACATACGCAACATGATAACTACGGGAATCAACCGATGGACGATTGATAACTACGGGAATCAACCGATGCTATCGAATAATGTGATAGTTGCAAGAATTTTGAAAGGGACTGGTCAGAATGCTAGATTCTACGAATTCTCTTAAGTTCCAACGATTTGCCATTTCAGTTCAGTGAAACTTCTCTGGAAATGCCATGTTTTTCACACGTCCACCTAGACGTGCTGCGTTCACGAATTGGAAACCCATCTTTTCTGTACATTCACCCATAGGAACAAAAAAAAAAATTAAGCTGCGTTTAGATAAATCGTAATTAAATGATTTTCAACCTAATATCAATTCAACTTTCTTTTCTTTTCAAAAAGCATATTTTCCCGCAGGACAACGCCTGCGGGGTCAGCTAGTGGTGCTACAAAAATGGAAAATATTTCTCAATGATGACTAATAAAACAAAAATTGTAAATACAAAGCTTTTATTAAAAATTGTAATTATTAATCGGAGTTCAAGATATTTTTTGGAACATCCATTATTAATAGCAATCAGTAAAAATTGCACTTAAGATATGTAAATATTTTTCAATGATTTTGACTGTATTGATATGCCTAAAAATTCCGAATAATGATTGAAATTCACTTCATTCATATGGCTCGGCTAGCCTTGTATTAGTCCGGTCTGTTGACCCAAAACATTTTCGATTTCGTGTTTAAAGCCATGAATCGTTTGTGAATTGGGGATGGACGGTAGCACTTATCCTTAATGTCTCTCTCCAGAAGTAGTACAACGAAAGCAAATCGGAGCTGCATCGTGGCCTTTTCTGTTAGCTGTACGATTTTCAAACTCGCAACGTTGGATGCGTTGCACGTTTCGCTATCCTGTAACTTTCTTATTTTCGAAGGAAAATGCCAACCGGTCCACATGCCACTCCAAACAGTTACTCGTTGAGAATGCATTACATTTTTCATGGTGATGATTAAGTTTTTTTAGCTTCAAATGTAGAAATTTTGTTTGTTAAAAAGGTCACCGAGATGAAAATGAGCTTCCTTCATAAAATACACCTACCGACATTCAGCCCATTGAGCGAAGCGGTTTCAATTCTTGGACTAAGTGGCTAGAATGGTTAATTCCTGCGAACGGTGTGGAGTTGATATTGATGGCTGCTAGATCACACTTTGTACTTTAGCTAGAAACTTCTCCTATTGCACTGAATATGAACATTTGGGAATAGTTTTGTCCGTTAATGAGCCGGTTAGGCATGACCAGAGCGGACGGCCAGAGTTCAAATCCTAGTACGCTCAACATCCAAAGGTCATAGAAAATTAAGCTAAAAATAAATTAAGTTAAATTTTCTAATTGCGGCCGCCCCTCGGCTGGAAATGTCAACCCTTCCGAGTGTATTTCTGACCTGATATAAAGGCTCCTCATAAAAAAAGCCATCACCCGCTTAAAGGCGGCTTAGTACAAACTGTAGATCTCTTCATTTGTTGGGAAAACATCAAGACGCAAAACCAAATGGAGGAAGAACTCGGCCGAAAACGCCTCAGCGGTTACAAAGCCCGAATTATAAAATGAGTAGTTAAGAATATATTAAAAATGTCAGCTTACATCATACCGCTTATGGGTCTTTTTGATTTCCTGGTCAAAAGATTAAAAATTTGTAATTGAAAATAGTTTGGAATTTTTGGTATATTTCTCTGCGATGGAAAAACGTGATGGTACTTTCAGTGAATCCTCATGATATAATCAGTTATCGAATGAAATGCTTTAATGAAATGTAAAATAAGCAGAAAATAAATGAAAAACGTTTTATATGTCCACTGAAGCAATTTGCATACGTTTCATATAAATGATATATAATATACTAGCTCTGTCCGAAGTATGTAAGTACCCGAAGACGAGTTGCTTAAGCCATGACCGTTTGTTTGTCTGTTTGTATGAAAGAGTACTACCTCACTCACTCACTTTTTTAAATGTTTTAACCAAACTCAGTACAGAGATGTACTGTTACATTTAAGGGGTTTTTGTCCAGAGCGACCAGAGTGGTTCTAAGTCCGTCGAAAAAGCATCTAAGAGCAAGAAATAACATATATATATTTAATTATTTATACATCAATACTGGAACTTATCGAAATCGGAAGACTAACAAATAGTTCCCATACAGCTATTTGCTTAGATATGAGGCTTTGGGTCGAAGATCCGTGAAAAGAGCATCTAATAGCGTAAGATTTATAAATATCGTTCAGAAAAATTTCGTTTATTAATACTAATGTACTTAAACATAATTGAAAAACTCATTTATTTGAAATGATTTTGCTTTCAAAACATAATTGAACAAAATAAAAAAAGTTCAAAGGGGTATATTTTAAAAATAGAGCAAATGAATACTTCTCTCAGTAAAAAGTTACAGAGGTTTTGATAAAAATCTGTTTTTTTTATTCTATATATATACTTGCGGCACCAATCCCATTGCTACCAGTATAATTCACAGAGTCAATTTTGATTGAGACCATGATTTGTCTGCGCCTGTGAAGTCGGACCAATTGGTAAAGTTGATTTACTTCCGGTTATCCGCTAAAGTAAAGTCAGGAGCCTTATTTATCGAGATAATTAGGACAAATGGTATGGTGAAAGAGTTAGAATATACCCGAAGTTATGCTGTGTATCACATCAAAGCTATCTATTGGGATGTTTCTTATTCTGGTGAGGGCGTCATAGTTCTTGGACAGAATGTCGAATTGTCTATATTTTCCGACTGATACATTTAATAGCATCAAACGCTGAACCAGCACCTCTGTCTCAGGTTAGGTTTGAGCGCCATTTACATTGATTTCTTGGATCACAGTTAATGAATCGCTTCATAACTGCTGTAGCACTTTTCACGTTTTCACATTATTAATTTATTAAATGATTAATTAAATTATAAAAGTGCAGAAAACATATCAAAGCAATGAAAACATTTTAAACATTTGGAAATGTTGCCGTTAAAGCTGTTAACACAATAAACTTTATTTTGGTTTTAACCGAAACGAAATATTGTCGTTAAAGTTAAATAGTTAACAGGTTAAAATTTGAATGTTTCAATATTAAAATTTTCATTTCGTTTCGATAACATGGCGCTGAAACGAAATAAAAATATTTCGGTAAGTTTGTTATTCCTATTAAGAAAATAAAATAGTATCTTTTCGTAAGTTGAGCATCTCTGATGTGCAGAAATTATATCAAAACAATAAAACTAGGTATACATGTGCCTTATAATCTTAGAGAAAATACTGAGTTTTCTTAAGAGTGCAATATTCAACCAGAAATAATCAACAGAAATCTAGGCCATATTCCGTCGGAAAATCCATGGATCATTTCGTCAAATAATATGTCTAGAAATGGGCGATCACTCAAATCAGTAAAATAGTTTAAAGAAAATTTGATTTAAAATGACGATATAGTAGTTCTAAACAGTCGATCTCAGATTTTTATATTAACAACTTTACTAAATATTGAACTTATTTTGAAAATGCTGGTATTTAATTGTTATATTATATATACGTATCTATAATTGGCGCTTTATACCCGCTGAAGCGATTTTCTGCAGAGTGTGGTATGAGTTTTGATGTTTTCCCTACAACTTCTACTTTGGCATAACAGATCGTATACATAACGCACTATAATTTCAGTTATGCAATATTTGGACGGATTTGATAGGCATGTGATAATATTAACACTCCATCTATTCGCAAATATATAACAGCATAACCTTCTTTTAACAGGCCTATTCTCACTGTTACCGGTAAAGTAAAATTTGTTACTTTTCTTTATCACCCGAAATTGAATTTGGTGTTCCGGCGAACTGGTTACAGTGTTTGAAAAAAAATTGGCAGCACTGCTTTTTCCGTCCATGTCGAATTACATTTGCTAGTTGATAAAGTAAAAAGAAAAATATTCACATCGAAATGGAAGACGGTGCGCAAGAAAATCAATAAGTTTTATTAATTTTGTTTATTAAATCAGAAATATTTGATGGTCATTTTTTTCTCGCAAACTTCTTAGCATACGCCTTTTTACACTTTTTTTCTTCATCTTCAATGAAAAAAAACCATTTTGGTTTTTATTTTTTCTCAAACTAACAACACAAAATCAAACAGTAGATATTTTTGTTACCTCCTATTACGCTGGTTACAAAATTTACAGGGTGACAGTGAACTCAAAATACAAAATACAATAGTAACAAAATTTACTGAATGGTAAATTTTAATACCAAAGTAAATTTTGTTACCTCGACAGAATAGGCCTGTAAATGACTCTTTATAATCATCAAAGCGATTTTCGTCGACCTTTCTATGGAATAGTTGTTGTACCTCTTAATATTTTTGCAACAAATTTTAAAATTAGTTGGTTGGGGTTGACTTTATGACAAGGGGCGACCACAATAAAAAAAGCAAATATCTATCTAAATATCGGGGCTCGAGCCAATGACCCGCAGCACATGCATATCCATAGGAATAAGGTTGTATTTATGCACATACAGGCATATATCCGAGCTTAGTATTTCAAACATTTTTAGTAAACAATTTCGGCAAATGGTTCTAATGAAAGCTTATATGTATACATATTCATAAACACATATATATATATATATAACTGGAGCTTTTTGGCCAAGTTGATCTTTTTCCAACAAAAGGAGCGACCTACATTTATTCTAAACATCCTCCAAATGGCCGTTGGATTTTTACGAGGATCATTTAGAGAACTCGAAATTCCCTCCTGTCGAGGGTCGACCGCTATTGAAAAAATTTATTTTCTACAATTTTGAATGTTGTAGTACTCGAACCCTGGTAATCCGAAGATTAGTACGCAACACTAACCACTCGACTTCTGCGGCCTAAAGACTAATATACATATTTGCTTTATATTTTCATAAGCATAAAGGTGTTGTATAGATATAAGCACTTTCATTCGTAGGCGTCTTACGATTTAGATAAATATACAAAAGTATAAGTAAACATGAACAACATGAAGCCCGAACTTATAATTAGCGCAAAGCTATCTATTTCATTCGGCCTAGGCTCTCGAACCTATACTTTCTTCGTTCGTAACACGCATTGCCATATACTCAACATCTACGATCTGTGGTGCATGAACACTTGGACTTTAATCAAATCTCTACAAATGTGTTGAGATTCCCACCCAATATAAATTGAATCTCACCTCACCATTACTACAAACACTGTTGTCATCCAAGTGGCCGCCACTTCCGGTCTCACTGTCACAATCATCATTATCCTGGTAGTCACTATTGTTGTCGAATTCCCGCACGGCTGAAGCATTTGCATAATGTTGCTGTACTGCAGCTGCATACTGGGCCACATTTATACCGTTTGAGCCAATTTGTGTCGCGCCGACGGGAAAGTGACCTTTATGCCCTGCAACTGCGGCAGCCGCCGCAGCATTAACTGAGGGTTGTGTGTGAAGTGGCATTATGGTAAGCGGTGCCATACGCGTGTGATGAAGTTGCGATTGATGGAGGTGGGCGGGGTGTTGATGTAGAGTTAGTGGAATTGATGGTGGGTGAGGCTGTTGAACATTCGTTGTAGACTCAAGTGGTGGCTGTGAGCACTGATTATAAGAAGATTGACTGTTTTCATTCCCACTAAGATTGTTATTGTTCATATTTTGTTGTTGATGTTTGTAGAATGCAGCAGCTGCTGCTGCGTGTACGCTCGCAGCATTTGCCGCCTCTACTGCTGCGGCAGCGGCGGCACTACCAGCTAAAATATCGTTGATCATAAAACGCGAACGATTTGGTTTTAAATTCGACATTTTTTGTTTTTGATCACTAGCAACTGTAGGCGAAGTTATAATTGTCATTGAATCTTTCATTTCCACAAAATTTGAAAATACACTATTTATGGTTATATATCAAAAAAAAAATTTATTGACACTTTATTCCCAATTATCATATAATTATACAAGATTTTCACTAAATGGTTTTTATTATATGTTTCACATTCAAAAATTATGCTGATCGTATTAGGCAATTTTTGTTTTACACATCAATCGAACCTCACGAACCTCGAAGTTAATACGAGATTTTAACTTTCTTTCTTCACCACCGTCAAAACAAGACTAACAGCACCTGCAAGAATTTCAGATACCAAAAGTATCTCATTCAGCTGGGTTTAGTTTTTCTCATGCCACACAAGTATTCGAGGTGGATGTTCGATATATATATATACTGTACTCATTCTTTCTTCCCTTATATGCTTATTGCATTATGGCAAGATTTTTGCTTACTCGCTCGCACCAATTGTCAAACCGCCATGTTTTTTATTCTCCGCCTTAAATTGAAGAATCCAGCTTTCTACCAATCAATACTCATATATGATATGTATGTATTCCTATGTAGGTCCAAGCCTTATAAAAATCGTTTACTACAAACTTTATTTTCGACAAAATATTATAAATGCTAAGGGCAAATAAATGCATACAAATCGCAAGGTTTAAAGCTCCCCTCTCTGTTTTTAATTACGCACATGTAGCTAATGTATACCGTTCTGGAAATTAGAATGCTGAGAGAATTTTATTGCTCTCGCTCCCTTCAATGATACACACCAAATAATAGTATTCGAGGTGAAATTAAATGCTATAATATTATAGGAAATTTTTCTAAGAAAAGAGAACGCTAGAGACAGCGTATTCTCTCGATGGTGTATATATGTATATGCTCAGGCAAGTATATGCTCAATCGACAAAATGTGGAGATTTGTATATAAACATATGAATATCTATGTACAGCATATGAAGAATAGTGTTCTCAGGTAAATTAAGAAACATGTAAATGATTTATTCTCAATTCAAAAATAAGAGGAAATTTTATTTCACAGATATTTATCGTCGGTTCATAATCGCTAAGCAATTTGAGACCGAGTTTCTCCTCTCATTTCTTGAGAGCGTTCAAAAATGAGCTATTTGTATAACATTGCATTTAAACCCAACATTTTATTGAAAAAAAAAAAAATATATATATACATATATATTATTACTCTTTCTATTACGTTTGAGTATTCAAATGACAACAATTCCTTTAACATTTTTTGCTGAATCAAATCACTGATTTTATTTACATAGCGAATTACAGGCCTATTCTCGCTGTTACCGGTCAAGTAAATTTTGTTACTTTTTTTAACACCAGAAATTGAATTTGGTATTCTGGCGAACTGGTTACAATGTTTGAAACATCTTGGGCAGCACTGCATTTTCGTCCTCGTCAAATTACATTTGCCAGTTGCTATAGTAAAAGAGAATTATATTCATATCGAAATAGAAGACGGTGCTTTATTTATTAAATCATAAATATTTAAAACTAATTTCGGAAAATATACCTAAACGACAAAAAACATGAATGAAAACGCTATCTTCTTAGCATACGTCTTTTTACACTTTTGTCTTCATCTTCAATGAATTGTAGGCCTAAAATATGCCTACCCATTTGGTGTTTATTTTTTCTCAAACTAACCTCACAAAACCAAATAGTAGATTTTTTTCAATACGATAGTTTTCGGTTTTAAGAAGAGAAAATATTTGTATTCATTTCTACTAAATAATTCGAGAGGGTAGGTGTCGATGCAGGTATGTATAGTATAAAATATAATAGTGTATATATAATTTTCTATAAGAACAGTCCAAAATCCGATTCCAATCGTAATTGGAATTGAATCCAATTGGAATTGCCTTATAATTTTCTAAAATTCTATCGGATTTAAGTTGTCATAATCTAAGCTTAATTCCACCGCTTCAACCAATTTGGTATTCTCTATGTCGATTTATTGTATTTCAATACCTCCTAAGAAACGTAAGTCAATTATATGTCTTGAAGGTTTTTCTTAAAATAAAGTGTATCATGAAGTAAAGGGGCAAAAAATGAACGCATTCCATTTAGGCCGTATTGAGCTAAAAATTATAATAACGACTAAATCGAAATGTAGATAATATAAAAATATTTCGTTTCATTTCTTTCGTCGGTGTAGCTTTCGGAAGTCTAAGAAGTTAACATTATATAATCTTTATAACGGTAACAACAACATGGCTTCGCAATGTTTTGCGGCTAATTTGATCGACACTACTTTCTAGTAAATTAAAGGAGTCTAAAATCAGTTTGTATTGTATAAAAAATTTGAAAATACATATCATATTTCTTTGTGCCACTTTGACACTCACCACCATTGTCACAGCATTCGGTTGTTGTAACCTAAATAGGTTTCTCCACATGAAAAGCTTACCAATGTATTAAAATTTATGTAAGCAAGTAAAGTTAGAAAAGGCACAACGTCATATTCTTTTGGTTTCAATTTTTTTATAAAACTTTATTGTTTTATAAACATTAATTTGTATAAACACACATTTTAAACAAACCCCGTGAAATATTACATTTTAAATTTTATGCATCAATATTATGTATGCATACATTTACGCAAATTCAAGCAGAATGATATTTTACACTGAATGCTTGAATGTAAAAAAAAAAAACACAAAAAACGAATTCTTTTCCAGCTTAGCCGCTGACCGCAAATTATCTGCGAAATCAACCGCAAATTACTATTGGCAATTGTTCGTGTTCAGTTCTCTCTTGCAAAAACAAAATTGTAACAATATATGAATATAATATAATTGGAAATAAAATGCACAAATTTGTTTTAATTGCTTTGCTTTCAACTTGAACGAACGCTTACTTACTTCCGTTAGTTTTTGGCCCATATGCCTCTTACTCCCATTGTTCATGTCCATTATTAGGGAACCGCAATGATATATAATTAGAAAATTACCAACACATTACAGGATAACAGCAGCTCACATTAGTTTGCTATTGCGGTATCCTTTGTGCAATCGTAGGGGGTCATTTACAAAGTGCTGAAATGGCGCCGGTGAGCAGAAAGAAATCAATCAAACATTCAACATTCATTTGTTATCGGCACATTGTCATAACTAAACATTTTCAGGGGTTTTGTTTTCATATATTTTGCAGGATATCAGCTTTTAGGTTAGTGTAACATGTGCATTATTTCCGCTTTTCGGAGTAAGAATTCTAGTGCAGAGTGCATGTGTCAACCTAGGTAAAGTCATTAGTGAAAATAGTTAAGAGTAGTATACATACACATTTTTTCCTTTCATTCCTCTCCTGAACATGAAATTTTATAAAATCTTGGGTCTTAAGTATGTATGTATATACATATTAATACATATATATAAATAGATAATTTGCAATCGCTAACGGACGTACAGCTAAGAAATTAGAAATTTGAATTTTTTTTTTTATTAATTTTCTATAATTGTGGAGGTTTTGTTGTGGCCACTATTCGAGCCGGTGGCTTTCCGCAACTGCTAACTGCTATGCTTCCGCGGCAACCTTTTTTACATTATAATAGTTTAAGATATATGTACCTATAAACATCAAATATTTATATTCAGCAAAACATCAGTCAGGTAGTATTCTTGGTTTAAAATAAAAAAAAAATTCTTCCCCCAAATTATTCCTTTTCTTACTTCGAAGCAATAAATTAAAAACATTTTGTCAGAATACTTTAAAATATGCAATCTCAAAAGTAAAGAAAAGTAAAAAAATGGGCTCGCCCATACCAACATTTCACGAAAGAAGATTGGTCGAATGTTCTGTGGCCTGATGAATCAAACTTCGAGCTAAGCTTAGATAAGATCGTCTTAAAGTATTAACAGCCATAGCTTCTTACTCTAGAGCAGTTTTGAAGATATAATACAAATCTTATGAAAACAATATTTTTTTCTTTTCTACAGATATTTGGAACACCTGGTGTGACGTTCGTGAGGCGACTGGTTGGGGAAGAATATCATCCTTATCGCGAACGAATTGACTGAGTAGGTATACCTTATTGATATTTTTATAGTAAATTACACCTAATTCTCTCTTACTCATGAAGTTTCAAGAAAAATATCTACGTATTATGCAAAAATTTATTTGGCATAGATAAGTAAGCAAAATATGAGCGTAAAGGACCTCAGTCAGTCAGAATTCAGTCCTTATATATTTGCTCAGGAAGTTAAATGTTTTGAAAAACTACAAATCAAATTAACATAAGCACTCAATAAAATTCTATTCATGTAGAACGATGCAATATTTGTGTATTTGTAGACCGGACTCTACAATTTGAAATCATAAAATGAAATGGCGCCCAATTAAAATAGTTTCGTGACATAAAAGCATGTCATACAGCTGTATATCTACCTGTTATATGCACAGTTAAAAATATATGGCTGTGAATATCAACTTCAACAATGACGCTATACTTTTATAAAACTTTTAAAAAGGTTTTGTGAGCATGACCTATGTAGTCACGAAAAGCTTTTCTGTGGTAAGTCCACAATTACTCTTTGATTTTAGTCAAGATGTCACATGACATAAGTCTATTTGAATGTTTTTATTCTATTCTGCATACTGCAATATTTTCAATTTTTGTTTAAATGTTGACAAAAATTTCTAACCATGTACAATGGTAGGAATAAACGTTGCATACATACGTATTCACAAATGCAAGAAAGCTCGTTGTTAGCGTGAAAACGATAACGAATAACATATATAATATAACCCGATTTTATTTACGCCCCATACATCTTTCTTTAGCAAGACGTTAAACCGCACTAGCAATCAATTATGCCGTTAAAATTCTAATTCAAATAAACGAGCAAGTTAAATTACAAAATATACCAGTAATGGCGTCAATCACCGTACATGTAGACATTGTTGCATGCTTTTACTAAGTGTGCAACAATTTATGTACCCACCACCTCTCAGTAAACTTTGAAAGGGAAGTTTATTAAAATCAGGGCGGTCCACAAATACAGATCTTCGCTCGCATTGGAAGACTGGAAATATGGAAGTGTAAATCGAAAGTAACAATTTGATTAACAATCATTCAAAGTTAATATATTTATTTCTGTGACAATATGGACATTTTGACATTTGCAACAATACTATTGTATATTTCCCTACTCCTACTAATAGGCATAATAAGCTGCTTATATAAGTGCCAGCTAAACAGGCGAGGAAATCAACTTATCTTAGCCAGGTGCAGCT